GTGTAGGTCAGTCTGAACTGGGACTGGAGGGTGGTAGGTTTACCCTGAGCAGGACATGGAGGACGATGTCAAGAAACAAAAAAGTGAGGAAACAACTAAAACTTCTCTGAAAACTATTCTTCTGAATCCATTTCCAGGATCAATTCATTGTTGGTTTTGGTCTTTAAATGGGAATATTAAATATGAGACAGATTTGTCTTTTTTTCCCCATTTAGTTTTCCTGCTGGTCTGCTATGCCAGGTGTCATAAAAATCTACTGAATTCCCATTACATTTAAATCAATATAACATTTGCAAATGTTAACCTTCCTAGATGATTGGGAAATAAATGAGCACCAGATGTATTATAGACCTTTTTAAACATCAACATTGTAAATGGGCCCCTTTGTATTTCCTGTTGTGTGTTAATGTCGTAGCTGACAGGAAGTAAACGTGGACCAAAATGTTGCCTTTAGCAACAGAAAGGCAATTAAAAGGTCTGTAGCAGTCAGATAAAATAACTCTCATTTATATACATTTACATTCAAGAGGATAAAAGCTTCTATCAGAGATGAAGGAGAATTATTCCTGTTGAAGAGCACATTGAAACTCAAACATTCCTCCCCAAGTGAAAGTGAGTTAAAATAGCCCACTCAACTCAATAACCCAGCATGCAACACTTTCATTGAAACACAGCCAAAGGCTCTGCTTTAAGAGATTATACATATTTTGGAAATATTGACCTGCAGAAGGAGATTTATATAAATGATACTCATGTGGCAGGTGAATGTTGACACACGGAGAGCCTCACCAGCATCATGACATGCAGATCTGCCATCTCGTGAACTCCGGCTTTACACAGAATGATGACGGTGCCCGTGGCGTCCAGACCTCTCCGGCCTGCTCTGCCCGCCATCTGAATGTACTCACCTGGAAGCGCAAGACCAGCACATAAAAGAGACATCAGCGCTGCGGTTGTTTTCCCTCAACTCCGATTCATCCTCGGGGATGAAAGAGCATAATACATTTTTTCTCTCAGATTAAAGAGAGAGGCAATGCAGGCGGAGAACGGAGAGATCCAAACCTGGCAGCAGGTTTCTAAAGCCGGTCCCGTCGTGTTTCCTGATGCTGTCGAACACCACAGTCCTGGCGGGCATGTTCACTCCCATAGCAAACGTCTCGGTGGCAAACAGCACCTGGGAGGTGAAGGGGAGATGCAGGAGGATTCTTTTAACCATCTGCAGCCAACGTGTATTTGGAGCTTATGCTTGAAGTAACAGATAAACCGGTTTGCTATTATGAATTGTGTTTTTTGCAGTGCTGGTATCTGATGTCTTCTCTCCTTCTTGCTGTTGTTCTAACGTGACTCACCTTCACGAGACCTCGTGAGAAGAGCATCTCGATGACCTCCTTCAGTATCGGCAGGATCCCGCTGTGATGGACTGCTATTCCCCTCTTCAACAGGTCCCTCATGACCAAGATCTAAACAGGGCATTAGTAAGAGTTACCATCACATACTGTGATTGACTCTACTGTTAATGCTGCATTAAGGCTCTGTATACTGTAGAGCTGTTGTTATACTTGTGCTTCCTTCATTGATTGTTGCTTTAAATGACTGCTTCTTTGCACTTTGTGTAAAACACTTACAGAGATTACTCATCATTTGGCTGAATTAGATTCCGGTGTGAGATACAGACACTTCCTGGCATACAGGACGTGTTAATTGCAATAAACAAAATTGAAACTAAGTAAGTAAAACTAAGGAATACTGTCCTCTAGAGCTCTTTCTTTTAAGGTTTTTAGAGCTATTTAGTAAAAAGTGACAGAAGTGAGAACAGTGAAACTGTGTGTTTTTTTTTTTTTGTTGTTTTTTTACTACAAGCAACCCCTTTAACATTACATCTAGTAACTTGTTAAATTTTAATGGAATAAAAAATATTGATTAGAGCAGCCTTAAGTCACAGTGGGTAAGCACTCTGCAGAGCAATATTTTTGGCACACAGACAAATTCATAACACAATAGTTACCAGGTGCAGTGTACATGATATTTAAAAAGATAATTTTTTCCTTCCCTTGAGATCAATAAATTGAACCTAGGGGAGCTGTCTGAACCAAAAGATCATTTAATATTAATATGTTAGAAACAAATTCGTCATCCCTTCATAATAAAATGAGCAGATCGTTCTTTACCTGAGGCAGCTTTCGGTCTCCTCCTCGGAGGCGACTCAGACTCTTCTGGAAGAAAGAGTGAATCTCAGCCTTTTCTATAGAGGTGGTCATGTCCATGGAGTCCAGCGAGCGGGCGTTGTCGTCACACCGCGTCCGCGAGAAGGTGAACGCGACCACCGGTGTCTGCTGCCGCTGGAACAGGAAGTGCAGGAGAGTGAGCCACACCGATCGGTCCTGGAGGGGGGGGGTAAAAATATTGCAGAGAGGGATGAGAGCAGGAAGCAAGAGGGTGATGTTGTTGTCAGAGAAAATCAAGAAGCAGTGAGGTGACAGAAGCCAAATGACGGGGATTACCTGACTAGCTGTGGTGTTGTGAGAAGTACTTTTGGCGCCAAACGATTGGGCGTGTTTGCTGGTGCGCTCCTTCTTGGCATTGACAGCTGCGTAGTACCTGAACGACAAACACAACTTCCTTTATAAGGAATAGCTTACCAGACCGAAATAACAACCATCTACTGGAGCACCGCACAACTTTCTTCTCATACCCTTTAGTGAGGAAGTTTCCTGTAGGGTCCAGCAGCAGGAACATCTCATTCCGAGTCTTGGTGCTGTTTCCAGTGTACAGATAATGCTCCAAAGGCACAGGTCTCTTCATTGTGCTGATCACGTAGATATGCTTCTTCTTTATCCGACTAGGATTAACGAAGGAAAGTGTTCAAGAGATACAAAAATGCAAATAAATATGGAGGAGCGTGGCTCCTAATATCAAGTGCGCCTACCCGATCCACTCACTAAACTCCACAGCATTTGGCACCGTGGCGCTAAGGAGAATGATGCTGACGTGATTGGGGAGCATGATCAAAACCTCCTCCCACACGACTCCTCTCTGAGGGGAAAACGAAGGGGAGGCAAAAGAAGAGAGGAAAACAGTTACTCGTGACTTCAACAGGGAAATCGGATAAAAGAAAGATTCGGACAGCGGTCCGGGTCGCTCCTGACCTCGGTGTCGTTGATGTAGTGAACCTCGTCAAAGATCACCCACTCCAAGTCCCGGATGACCTCTGAGCCGTTGTAAAGCATGGACCTGAAAGAGAGAAATAAACCTAAAGAAAAAGCTATTTCGATTTGATTAAAAACATGAAATTAATATCTATAATAAACAGCCCGAGTACCTGAGTATCTCAGTGGTCATGATGAGACACGAAGACTCGGGACTGAGCTGGACGTCGCCCGTCAGGAGGCCAACATCTCCAAAGGTGGTTTTAAAGTCTCTGAACTTCTGATTGGACAGGGCTTTGATGGGAGAGGTGTAGATGGTCCTATTAAAAGAGGAAAAAAGAAATGCTGACACCTGAGATACTTGGGAGTCCTACATTGTACATATTACATTCCTCACTGTTCATATCTCTATGTGGAAAGAAAGTACAACAACCTGAAGCGAAAGACCTGTCAGAATGACAGGTACGCAGCATCAACTTTATTTTTAGGAGCAGAGAACAACTCCTGTGCAGGTTTAAGGGTATACGCTCCACAATGGATGTCACTCCAATTCTCCAAGCTCTTTATCTCGCAGGATCCTTGAGAAATATTCCAGTAAAATCTTTACTGAAAGCGTGTTTAGCTGTGCAGCCACACGCACAGCGAGGGCACGGGGATTGAAATTGATTTGCGCCGACAAATACACACCTCGTCATGTGTTTCTGTGAGAGGGCGATGGCGTATTCGGCCACCACTGTTTTGCCCGCTGATGTGTGCGCGGCTACAAACACGGAGTCGTGAGCCTCCAGCCTCAGCACGGCCTGCTTCTGGAAGACATCCAGCTCAAACTGCCACTGGAGCAGAGGTGGGGCGGAGAAACAGAGCAGTTGTCACAGGATTTGTCATGTGATGATTCATCACGTATGCAGAGAAACACAGACACGACAAATGAATAGGGAGGGATGAGTTGATGTTTTGAAGATTGCACATATACAAAGAAACAGAGATATTTTTAACAGGATGATTTCTAGAATACCAACCTTGAAAGCTGGGTTGGGGATGCGTTTATAGAAATCATCGCAGGGTGTGTTTATGTTGACAGGGACGGCCCACTTCTTATTCTCCTTGGGGTTCTCTTTTGGCTTTGATTTCTCATCTTTTCCTCTCTCTGAGGGAGTCGAGGATGACACAACATCCTGAAGACAGAGGAGGAGAACCAGATCTCAGATGCCATAGGCATAGTTGGAATTTAGGTTGAAACAGTGTGGTTCATAAAAAGGTAAGACTGCATTACATTGCGAATGATTTTCAGTTTGCAAAAAAAATATGTTTCTGCATAAGACTTTCATCTCATTATGCAAACATCCAACAAGAATTTTAACTTCACATATGCTGATAAATCTCATGAATTCTAGTTAAACAAATACACCACAAATATGTAAAACTATTCGCGGCATCTCTAAATTTGGATTATTCCACACAGATTTTAGTTTTTAAGTCTGTATTAGTTTGTTTTTGTTGACTGTATTTTCATCTCTTTCTTATCCAAAAAACTAAACGAACTGCAGCACCTTGACTCCCAGGTCTTCAAGGCTGTTTGTTCTGGGTAGTTTGGGAGCGTCCTCGTTTTCTTTGCCCTCCTCCTTCTCCTCTGCCACAGGTTGCAAGTCAGCGATGTCATCCAATGTGGACAGGAGGGAAATGGGGTTGACCTCTGCCTTTGCTATCTTGGAATCTTCAGGATACACATTTTTAAAAAATAACGTCATTATAATTATCTTAAAAGCCCTGTAGAATTTGTTTTTTTTGCATTCGAAAGTATGATATCTAACCTTTGTCAGTGAAGTCCATCCCAGCTTTAAGTCCAGGCGGGACTCTGAGTAAATCTACAAGAGAAAAATGACAAATTCAACCATGAAGAGCTGAAATAACAACAAAAGCCTTGTTTGAACACAATGCAAGTAAAAAAAATAAATCACCATTCTCAAAGTCTATGTCCTCCTCCAGATCAGATTTATTCTTGATTTGGTCCAGAGTAAGCTCCTCCATTCCTCCTGTGAAGATAACCATCGCAACAAATATATTTAAAGACAAAGTGAAAGCACCTCGCTTAAAATTACTGAAGACAAAATGCTTTGAATGAATCTGTCTCACCGGGGCGGAAGGGGTAGTTGGTGTTGCTTCCTCGAAGGCTCTCTGAAGGAGGCCCGGGCTGGCGTTGTAATGAAAGAGAGTTCTTTGCTGACAGACCAGTGTCCTCCAGTAACACCTAGACATACAAATAACACAATGAACACTTTCTCTTGAACTGTAATGGATGGATTGTGTTTAATAACATAGTTATACCACAACAACATCTTCTCATTAAGATCATTTCTGTTCCAGTTTTTAAAACAGGATTATTTTTCATTTTCTCATTGTGATTATATTCGTCGTTTGGTCTACAAAAAATATTAGAAAATAGTCAAACATGCCTACCACAATTTTCCAAAGTGCAAGTTTACATATTGAAATTCCTTTTGTCATCCAACAGACAGTCCACAACCTGAATATATGTAGTTTACTAACATGGAAATAAAAAAATGCCGCAAATAATCACAACTGAGAGGCTGGAGCAAGTATTCACTTAGAGAATGACTGAAACCATTACTTGATTCTCAAAAAGGTTGCATGTTCAGCTCTAGATGCTTCATCAACAGTTCAACAGTACAGTACAGTGTGTTTGTGAGCTACCTCTGTGAAGTCCAGCAGCATCCCTGTGGTTGGATCTCTGACAACAGAGATGCCGGAGTGAAGTGCAGACGGGGTGCAGTTGATTAGAGAGTCGACATTAACTTCTCTCTGAGTCACCCTGGTGAAGACGACAACACAACAGTTACATCTTCTACAAATACATATGGTTGTTTAAATAAATCCTGTGAAACAAATTGAGTGACTCGGATCAATCAGCAATATCTGATTGAAAGTATCTCTTGTTATCAAAAACCTTCACTTTATCTGCTCAGGATTGGTTATAGTTGTGTTCTTAGTTGTTTTAACACCAGATGCTGCATGTTATTTTGAAGTCATCTGTTATATTTGTCTTGTGGCAGCTAATAACTTTCATATTCAAATTGACTCTAAGAGGTAACATTAAAGATGTTAGGTTAAAGTTGTGACGATAAAAAGTTATTTAATCATGATAATAACCTATTTTTTTTTTTCAAATCTAATTTCTATTTCATACACACTTTCTACTTTGATAATTCACCTCTAAGATTTAATTGTTTCTGGAAAAGCAGGGAAATTCCAATTAATTTACTAATTATTTATCAAATGGGTACAAAATGAAATGATACATTTTAAAATACAGTTTATGTACATTACATAGTCTACGATATCAAGTAGCAGCAACCTGCATCGACTCTAAAGCACATTGGTGCGTATTCTCCACATTCAATCAATTATTTAAACAGTCAAGTCGTTCACAAGCAATAATGAGATTGTTTACAGGAATACGTACTTGAGAAACCTCTGGAAGGCAAAGTCTGTGTCATGTATTGGAAGCCAGGCAGCGTCCCGTAAAAACTGTTTCTCTACCTCTCTCTCCAGGCTCAGGCTGGTGGGAGGAAGCCCATGCGGGAGCTGGAGGTGGATACGATCAGATATACAGCAACTTAATGAGACAGCAGATCGATGCGTACCATGTAACTGTTAAATCCCAGGTTTATATCACACATTCATTCAGGTCATTTTCCACCATGATTACTGTCAATTATCTACTGAAGTCTATCTATTTAAAAGTAGCTTATCAGTAATATTTTAGCACGCAGACAGATTTTTTATAACCACAAAGGTACAAACATATTTTGGTTACTTAGGAATAGTAATAATATTAATAGAAATCATAATCATACTTAAATAATAATCTTAAATTACCTTTAAATGATGGTAACATTTACTCAAGTAATGCAGTATTCTTCTGACATGCACAGACTAGAGGTATGAAAGCTCAGCAGTAAATTATATTACTGGATCAATAATACAGATGTTTTAATGTTGTTGGTCGAGATACAGCAACTTTAGCTACTTTGCATGCTATCTGCATCATATCTTATGAGCTCATTATATGTTTCGGACTAGTAACTACAGCTGTCAGTTGAATGTAGTAAAAAGTACAACATTTCCCTCTGAAAAGTATTAGTACACAAAGTCAAGTGCATCAAAATGTACTTAATTGTGCAGTGTTTGAGTAAATGTACACAGTCATCCTGCTGTAGACTACTAACCGTGCTCTGTGGAGGTAATGGCTGGTCAGGTGACGGGTGTGTGATGAGCTCAAACCTGCCGGAGCATCCCATCTCCAGCAGGGCCAGCGGCAGGTCCGTGGGGCCCGCGTGGGGCACATCTGCAGAGAAACAACACAAAGAGTGTGAATGGACCAAACAAACACAACAGGGCTAATGCAGGGTGCAGCCAGGAAGATGCACCCAATGCTGACATAACTGTTTAATTGACTGCATGTGTTCAAGAAAGACTGCACACACATTAATACATCTATCGGGTAATTAGGTAAATATGTAATATACAAGCCATGACGCTGCTGAGTGTAGCACTGATTGACAGCTACCCTAATAGCCACGTATTCATACAACCTACAGCAGTGAGCGTCAGGACAAGGCGCGTTTTAATATAAACACAAATATGCAAGATGGCTATTTATTTAAAGAGCCACAACTTACTTATTCTATCCATGTCCCCACTCCCAAGTGAAAGCTAAAAGTTGCCCACAACTGGTTCCTCCTTTCGCCTCGGAAGTTGACAGAATTAACAACCGGAAGTGGCTACTAAACTAGCGTTAGCTAAGCTAAGCTAGCTACGAGGGAAATAATACAAACTAAACTGTAAACGTGTCGTGGACGTTCACAAACTGTCTACAGTTTGTATTCCATTGTTTTATTCTGGAGTGATCTCGTTTTGTGTGCGTTGCTAAATGTTTTTGTTGATCAAAAAAACAATAACGCGACCAGCAGCCGCTACGTCATATACACGCGACGGTGTTTTTGTTGAGACGCCTCTGTTTTAGTTTGGTGAGTGAATGATTTAGATAAAAGCTAATAACTGTTATACAAAGTCATTTCAAGATCCTACGCATTTTTTGTTATTTTGGTCGTCTGATAGTTCACTTGTATGTGGTCTGCATTAACTAAATACTTGTATAGTCTCTTGGAAGGAAATCGTCTTTGGAGACCTTATTAGCCTACCGAGGCTAGCAGCTGTGAACCTGATAAAAGTACATTTTTAGTGCCTATTTTGTGTTACTACACATGTATTTGTTACCAGCTGTTAATGCACTTGTTTGTATTGTAGCTGTTCTCACCATGGTGGTATTTCCAAGTTCACTGACGGAGGAAGAAGAGGCTCTGCAGAAGAAATATGCAAAACTCAAGAAAAAGGTAAATCAATGGACGGTTGCTGTCTCACCCTTTAATACTGTGGTAGACTTGTGAGTAAAGACGTGAATGTGTGACAATAACACATCTGTTTTAATGCCATGACATTTAGTGGCATTAACCCCATTTATGGAGTCCATACAGAGGACCGCATTGAAATAAGTCTTTTTAGAAAATAAATATTGTCACTAAACGTTTTTTACCTGTCTGTTCAGAAAAAGGCGCTGCTTGCCTTGAAGAAGCAGAGTTCAACTAACCAGACAAACCAGGGTGGATTAAAACGGAGTAAGTGCATTTGACTCTATTTAAATGTATTTGTGTACATCAGCATTTGTCTTTTCTCAGCTAACTGAAACACACCTGGTGTTTACTCATTCATATACACAATCACTTTAATTTATACAATGACTCCTGTTGAGACTCTGATTGCATGTACAAATATGTCCTGTTCACAACAATCGAAGAAGGCAAATGAAAACAGAGTGACACAAGTAATCTCTACTTCACACTTTGCTTCATAACAGCTTTGTCGGACCAGCCTGTTGTTGACACCGCAACGGCGACGGAGCAAGCGAAGATGCTGATCAAGACGGGTGCCATCAGTGCCATTAAGTCAGAGAACAAGAACTCAGGCTTTAAACGCTCTCGAATGCTGGAAATTAAACTCAAGGTGAGCTGACATTCCTCACTGTGTTGTTTCAGCTGTTTTCTTGCTTTGTTTTGTTTGTTAATCTGTTTGATTGTTGCTCCTTATCTGCCACAGGACCCTGAGAAAGGCCAGATTCCTGCTTTCTTACCATTCCAAAGGAGTGTTTCTGCAGACGAAGAACAACCTGAGGTATAGTGGATATCAAACATGATAAACAGTTTAAAACATGGCTGCAAACATGACCCTCGAGTATCTGTAAAAACTAATAATAAAATGTTAACGTCTTGTTGTGGCAGCTGATTATGACACATTCAAGCTTGTGTTTTCTAATCAAAATCAAAATACCTTATGTAGAATGTCTGTCAATGGTGAGTCCTAGTGTTAAAAAGGCACATTTGCACATTTCAAGGTCTGAAAATGACTATAGAGATTGAGAAAGAAGTTGTAGCGTTCTAAGATGCACTCAAATGGAAAACAAAAGCTTATTTTGATGTTGCCATATTTGTGCTTCTCCTAGTCTGGGAAAAGAGCCAACAGGAAGTCTCTTTATGAGAGGTAATGTCTCAAGAACCACAATGAATAAGCAAAACAACCTGTTGAATACACGGACAGTCAGTATCTGTGGCTGTAACAACATTTCACCTGTGTGCCCCGCTGCAGCTTTGTCAGCTCCAGCGACAGATACCGGGACGAGGAGGAGGGAGGCAGCACGACATCCAGCCGTGAAACGGACCGAGAAAGAGAGCGAGAGCCGGACAGAGAGCGGGAAAGAGACAGAGAGCGGGAAAGAGACAGAGAGCGGGAAAGAGACAGAGATAGGGAAAGAGACAGAGATAGGGAAAAGGACAGAGACAGAGATAGGGAAAGGGACAGAGACAGAGACAGAGATAGGGATAGGGAAAGGGAAAGGGACAGAGACAGAGACAGAGAACGAGACCGGGACCGGGAAAGAGAAAGAGACCAAAGCAGAGAAAGGGATCGAGAACGCGACAGTGAACGGGACAGAGAAAGAGATGCACCGTTCAGACGTGAGTGACCAACCAAGGACACATCCTTACAGATTCAGAGATGCAGTTATCAGTCGAGAAGAATGCAGTGCAGAGCCAAGTCATAATGTGGATATAGTGTGGTGGTGCATGCTGGACCACAAGCATGATTTTTTTTTTTCCTCTGTCTCCTATATTTTCCTTCCCAGGGTCAGATTCCCACCCAGAGCGGAGAGGGGTGCGAAAGGGCAATACGGTGTACGTGTACGGCTCTGGGCTCAGCGAGGACAACCTGCGCTCTTCTTTCTCTCAACATGGAAGCATCATCGACCTCTCCATGGACAATCCACGCAAGTATGGAGTCATTTAACAGCTCTGTGGGAACATAGTGGTCATCTCTGCCGACTGTTATGATTGTGTTGCTGTCTTTGTACATATACTGGATTGTCTTCTCCTGCTTTATTTTAATTTTATGACACAATCATCACTTCTTTTCTTTTTCTCTTTCCAGTTGTGCATTCATTACTTTCGAGAAGATGGAATCTGCAGACCAGGCTGTAGCTGAGGTTGGTGTTATCCTATATAAGAAAAAAAGTGATAATTATATCACAACTTCCGAAACACAGCAACAAACGAGATTCAGCAAAACATTTTAAAACTGAATATACATGTAATATCAGCAACTCAGCCGACCACTACAAGTAGAGTAAATTAATTACAGCATGAAGGGTAGTGCAACCATAGGTGTGGGTTTCTGCTTTTAACTCGTTTCATGTACATTTATTATTTCTAGTATAGATGTGATATTGAGAAACTGCCAAATATAATAATCTGGGGAATGAATTAACTCGGTTGTAAAATGTTTTTTTTGATCAATTATTACTAGACTTATGATGATGGTTGTTTCCAGGCGAGGAGATACCCATAAAGCTGTGTTTTTTTATTTTTATTTCTCAGTGAACACAGTCATTAGCTCCGCCCAATAAATATAGTTAGAATCAAATGAAACCTCTTTGTTTTTTGTCTCTCAGTTGAACGGGGCCATGGTGGGAGACATTCACGTCAAAGTCAGCATCGCCAGGAAGCAGCCCATGCTGGATGCTGCCACTGGGAAATCAGTCTGGGCTTCGCTGGGTAAACGCAGAGCTCTCTATTGTTTGTGTAGACGTTGATCAGACTCTCGTGTGTCTGCTTAGTGCGGATTAACCTTCAGCAATGTCTCTCTTCTTTCACAGCTGTGCAGAACAGCACAAAAGGCTCCTACAGGGACAAGAGGAATCAAGTCGTGTACAATGAAGATTTATTTTGACTGGAAAAAACAAAAATGTTTTTTATTTTGGCATATAGCTTTTCACGTTTTTGTTTTAATGATGTTAGCCAGCTGCTTAAAGTGTTTGTGTTGTCATCTGTTGTCTCGGTCGATAGGTGATGCTGCGTGGCTCATGAAACTAGAGATACTGTTTTGAACTCAATAAAAAGTTTTCATGCATTGTTTCCTTGAGTGAGATTTACATGAGCCTCGTATCAACAAGACACAGCAGGGAAGCTTTGGAAAGTGAGTGTGTGAATCCTTAAAAATCCCACATTCAAAACAGATTTCCTGAACGTTTTGCAACAGAGGAACAAGTCACACTCCCTCTGTCTAATTAGTCAACATTAGTAAAAACATCTGTGTGAGTAGACCGAGAGGAGACTTTCCAATTCTTTTATTTACACTGATTTACATCTTTTCTTTGAACTGTGGCCGGCCATCGCACTGAACGTGTATTACATATATTCAAGTTTAACGTTACAGTTCTGAGTCAAACTAATGAAACAGTTCTAAGAGACATAATCAAAACAAAATCACAAAATCAACAGGACTTCAGTCACTGACATATTGACCTCTCACAGCATGTAAAGCACAGCTCCATTTAGCTGCTTGAGTTTCCAGGTCCTGGTATCGTGCACGCTGGCTTTAATACTACAGAGCTATTGTTAGTGTCACTAGTACCACCTGTGCTATGACGAGTCAAAATGCCTGGTGTGGAAAAAGGCCTCTTGTCTCAGTGTAACAGGGAGCTCATAAGTCATTTTTACCCACATAAGACACTGAGTATGTGTATTTTTATGCAAATTGAAAACATTTTATATGAAAGGACTATTGGTTTCACAGTCTGATATTTTAAAAGGCCTCAATCAGTTTCCAGCACGTGCTTAAAGGTACAGTGTGTAGCATTTCTGGGGTTCTATTGGCAGAAAGGGAATATTCACAACTATGTTTTCATCAGTGTATAACCAACTGAAACTTAAGAATCGTTTTGTTTTTGTTAGCTTAGCATAAGCCCTTCATTGCTAAATAGGGAGCGGATCCTGCACCGCCATGTTTCTACAGTGGCCCACAAAGACAAAGTTCTAGCGAGAGCCTTTGTGGGTTTTTTTTTGTTACCCGAAGGCCACTGTAGTTCTCCGGTTGGTTGCAATCTGCAACCACACCAGTAGATGCCACCAAATCCCACACACTGTCCCTTTAATATCCACATGGGGGTTGTGACCCCACAGACTTGACCTCCCCACTGGATGCAGGGAGCTGCAGAGCCTGAGGAGCTTAAGACATTCAGACACTCGACTGTCTGGAAGGCTTCGGCCTACGACACCTGTTGAGTAACCAGGCATTCTTGCTGCTCCTCCCTTATTTGTCCGCTGGCCCCCTCTCCCTCTCTCTCCCTCTCCCTCTCCTCCTGCTCGTGAAGGGAGTTCTGCCCCGTGGTTTTCCCGTGCTGTTCCTTCAGGTGGCGTCGCAGCGCGGGCTTGTGGGCGAAGCGGGCGTGGCAGTACGAGCAGCGGTGCGGTCGCTCACCGCTGTGGAGGTTCATGTGGTCTATCAGCGTGGACTTTTGGGTGAAAGTCTTGTAGCACAGGGGGCACTGGTGGGTCTTGCCGGTGCCCCGGTGCACCGCCATGTGCCGGGTGAGGTTGGCAGAGTGGTGGAAGTGTTTGCCACAGCAGGGACAGGCGTACAGCAGGTGGGTGGAGCGCGAGTGGATGGCTAGGGAGTGGGCGGAGGGGAACGTCATGCCGCAGTGCTCGCAGATGACCGGCCCGGCGACGCTTGAAGTGGATCCCACCACCGCGACGGACTCGTCCCCTCCCTCGTTTGTTCCGTCCGCCGTCAGACCTGAACTTCCCTCACCAGCGCCGCAGTTGGCTTCCTCCAAGGCGTACTGGTCCAAGCCGTTGCCGTCCATTGGTGAGACCTTTTCTCCCCGCGCCTCGCCCATGCCGAAGTCAAACTTGGGGAGTTCCACCGAGATGTAGTTTTCCGTCTTGAGCCCTTCTTGGCTGTGGTCCAAGCCGAAACCCCCTCCCATCCCTGCAGCAGCCAGGTACCACAAATCCTGCTGGTGACCCTCAGTCAGGCCTGGGGGTCTTTTTTCCTGCGATGACACCAACCGTCTCCTCTTAAAACCTCGCCCCCTGCCTCTCCCTCTGCCCCGGCCAATTTTGGGGTCGGGCAGCATGCGCCTGAAAGCGCGGAGCCCCTCCAGTGAAAATCCCCCCACACCAAGATCCTCTTCTGTTGGATTCAAGTCGTATTCGCCACCTTCTCCTCCCATCACGACACCGTCTGTTTTTGGGTAACACGCATCCTGAGATCCATAAGAGGGATCTTCTCTCTCCTCCTCCCTGTCTCTGTTCATCTGCTCCTCTTCGTTGATGTACACTCTGTACACTTCACAGTTCTCCTGTCTGGCCGCTTCCTCCTCGTCCGATGCATTCAGCTGTAACAGAAATGAAGACTGAGCGAAGTGTGTGGCGCTGTCAAAGATTATTCTAGAAAATCTGTGAATTTCCCCAAACTTTCCACAAATTGCTCGCACTGTCCAACCTACAGTCCAAAACCCCCCAAAATAAAGAGAGAATCAGCAAATCCTCACGTTTGAGAAGCTAAATATAACACTTACTATTTATTGTCTTGGTACTCAATTTGTTGGTGATTTATTATTTAGTTTTATCAGGATCAAGAGTGTCATTTAATGATTATTATACTGGTACTATTATGTTAGCGTGGTGCTCTTATGTGAACTGTTTCAAAGACAGACTCTTGAGAGGATGTTTTATCATCCCTGAAACCTCTCTGTGTCATTACTGTGCTCTCTGTTATCTTCTTCACCTTTTCATCCCGTTACCCTGTCCTTTGCAAAAAAAAAACCATCCTTTATCACACTTCACTGACCATTTAATGCTTAGTATAAAAGTCATACAGGGACAGAGGAAGGAGCAGGGAGCTCTTTCTCCCTTGTGTGTGGCCAGACATTATTCAGGATCAGAAACTGGCTTTAAACTGCTGACTGTTGTTGCTTTGAATAAATCTCAACAAGACAGACAGAACACCGTTGGGTCTCTCTTCGACCAAAGATATTTTTAGTTGAATAACACTTACACAATTTAGTTGACTAGTTGATTTGATCGACAGATCTGTAAAACTGAGTTCCTCCATAAAGAATGATGCCAAAGCACCACTTGAAATGATGCATTTACCAGAGATGTGCTCATAAGTTTCTTGGAAAACGAAAGAAAAATTACGTCGGCCAATCACCTCGGAGGGGGCAGCCCTAAACACCAATGTGGCAATCAGTGACCAACCGAACGCTGGTAACAAATACTTGTAGGCGACATGATATATTAACAAAACGATATCAATTTGAATTGGAATCCATGTTTTTATCCTATTTTTTAATGCTCCTAAATGTTTAACACTTTCATACTGTTAAATTATTCTTGTCATCTAATAGTTTTTGCATTTTGCTATATGAATGAAGTTGATATTATTGTTAAGATATGAACAGTGTAGATTTGAAACTCAATGGAGATTAAAAAGGTACCATGGTCACACACAAACCTTAACGAGTTGCTCATCCAGCATGGGACTTCCGTCGTGGTGTTGACGGCTGCCCTTAGCAGACATGTCACCGCCGTTCTCCTCCGCAGGACTGTGTGAGTGCACAGGGGAGGGTCGGCTAGCGGGGGGAGAGGCCACAGAATGAACGCTGCCGCTGACGATCAACAATCGGGCCTGACTCTCCTCTAAAGTCATCTAGAGGAAGGTAAAGAGGAAAGGAAACGGATTATGAAATTGCAAAATAAATTATGAAAACTGCACTACCGCAAGCAATGAAAGAGCTGAGAAGTGTTACTGTATATGCAAAATGTAGAACTGAAAATGAGTCCTACAACATACAAAAGCTTAGGATAAAATTGGAACAAAACACATTTGTCACTTTTTTAATTGAAAAATGTAAAAAAGGAAAGAACCCCCCCCCGACACAGTCTATCAATTATGACCAATTTAATACTATACATTTTCATCACTATACAAGATATAAACTGAACTAGAAGAAATAGGATAGCCATTTAAAATACTAGTTTTAGATGACTTACCTTCGGTGAACTGGGGTTTTTTAGATGCATGTACTTCTTCAGCGCTCCTCGGCAGCGCTCCACAATATGCTCCATCTGTAGGTAGCTGGCGGCGGTCAGGTAGTTGACAATCTCCTCTGGGTTAAACTGCAGGACGCCAGTGTAGCAGGACTGAAGCAGATCACACACCACTGTGGAGCTGTACAGCATGGACACCTGGGTAGAAATGTGAACGAAATAACATAAAGCAGCACCATTTTCAGTCAGTAGAAGAGCGCTATGGAAGACATGGCGACTGTGTTGACAGCGTGACTTTGTGCGTGTTGACGTCTGCCTACCTGAAGTTTGGGAGTCGGGTTGAGGAGAAACTGGTCTCTTAAGAAGGGCGAGCAGGCAGCCAGCACCACCTTATGTCCCCTGAATGTCAGGCTGTCGCTGGTCACAATGGTGATGTCACAGAATTGCTGGCGGGACCTCAGGGCATTCAGGTGCTTCAGGGTTGTGTCCCCGTGGCCCGGTAACCGGAAACACAGCATCTCCATCTTGTCTGAAGGGGAGTGGGGGGGTAATATATTCATTGCAAATAACTCAGTGAGGGGGTCTTTGTATCTTTTGAATTAAAGATCAAAAAACAGACACTCAAACAGTTTCTTCATAACAGATACATCATGGCTACCCATTCTAAACCGCACAGAAATCTGAGATCTACGACCGTAGATTAATCTGAAACCATTTGTCAATCAATCATCTTTTCAATTGTGATGATTTGGTGTGGTTGGTTAGATAATTGAAGGAAAACAGGCTCTGACAGACATTTTTCATTGTTTTCTAATCCATTTCTAGACAAACGGTCTAACGGTAGATTAAAAGCTAATGGTCATTTAACTCAGGTTGAACATTAAAGTATTAAAGACCATGAAAAGACACATTTTCAGCTTTAACTGAATCTATTACTTACTACATGTTATAGCTCTGTAATGCAATACAGTACAGCTGAGGACTGGTAGATATGAAGGAAATCACATGAAAATATATGTGTTACCAAATATTGATATTGTGACAATATTGTGGGGTTGATCATTGGTGCTTTTACAAAATATATACACAATGAGATCTTTGATAATGCATCGTCAGTAATGTGGATATAGTGACTAAGTGGGTAAACAATAGAACAGTCTGGTAACAGAAAATTACTTCAATTTAGCTACTGTAAAAGCTTTAACACTCACGCGATACCTAAAATCTGAGACAATATCTAGTCACATATCACGATATTGATATAATATCGATATATTGCCCCGCCCAGGTAACATTACAGCTAGAAGGTACCGTGTTTCACGTCACTACATCGACATGTTATGGATTATTTGTTAGTTTTGACTTGAGGGACGTTAGCTAACATGTGTGTGCGCGAGGACAGCTTAAGACCCATAGAGTAACGTTAGTTGAGTCTATGTTAAAATTAGACTATTTAACGTAAATCCACTTCCGTTAGAGGTTGAAATCGATCATAACACAATTGTTTTGTTTTGTGGCCTAACGTCATCTAACGTTAGCTACTTGTCTGAGTGTTAGCTACCGTTAGCTTTAAGTTAGCTTAGCTACATCGTCTATCTGCTACAGATCAACCGTAGAGACACCCAAAGGCTCCATAGTTATGGTGAAACTTTCCCGTCCCTCACCTCTGCTTTTCCTTTTGTTGAATGTCTTCTGGGCTTTCTAAAAATAAAAGCAGATCTGTGTTTGTTTGAGCAGAACAGCCATAGATGCTTGTGCTGTTAATTGCCCGTTGTATTTCCTCATCCCTACTGCTACGAGCTAACGTTACAACCTCGATTTCTGTTTACTTTTGGCCTCTTTTTTTGGAGGAAGGCGTCTCGTGACAACAAAAACAAAGTGCTGGTCTTTCGCCACTAAACTGACGTTGAATCGGTTTTTGTGGTAGTTAGTAGTGAAATCTGAGTACGCACGCTGACTTCTGATCAGTTGTTTTCAAATCAGTGGACGGGGGGGCTCGGGGGGGGGGGCTCGGGACGGTGACGCAGCACGTTACATTGATGCGCCTCGCGAAACATGTCGGCATCTGAGACAACGACGAAGGTAGGAAGCCCTCTGCAACACAAACCTGACAAACAATGGGATTCACGTTAGTTTAACTACGTGTAAACGCGTTGGCATACAAAACACAAACACTCCAGTAAAGCTGCAATCTGCCATGATGCAAAATGTATTTACGTGTCGATTGTAGGAGCTCTTTGTTGCAAGCTGTGCTACACTGCTAGCTACGTTGACGTTAGCCTGTAACAGTTATGTGTTGACTAACGTTAAATTCCTCAAATGTTGTTCATCTATGTTTTCATTATGTTCTCGATTCCTTGACCATTAACTCTTTGTCCGTCGTCTTGCGTTGCTTTTCATCACGTTCTGCGGTGTTGGTATTGTATTTTGTAAGATGAATGCCAAACGTAGACCCGTTTTTAAAGCTAATGCTGACACAAACTGCCCTTTTGTGTACACTGTGATAGTAATTAGATAATTTCAGCGAAACGGTCCTATTTTTAATCAGTCAGTGTGTCAAATCTGACTATATTCCGTTCCATTTCACGGACTATTGTCGCTTTGAATTGAGTAAAAAGCATGAATGGGTCGATTGACTGATGGCGCGGCAGTTGACGTAACAACAGAGAGGATCAGCCATTGGTTGAGGGGTTTATTTTGGAATGGAGAAGGCGGAAATGAGATTCACTAAATGAGTATGGTGTCTGTCATGCTGATTTACGATGGAAAAACAAACTGTAAATCATGTTTTCTTCAGCTATATGTGGTACTCACCAGTACTGACTAAAACCGGAGAAACATGTTTTAACTGGCAGCATTTGTCTTTAACTGGCAGCATTTGTCTATACAGTGTGCAAAGTATCCTTAAAAAACGCTTGTTTAATTAATGTTAATATATAACCAGAATATTTTTTTTCAGTTTTTTTGTCTTTATTACATTAGTAATCCTATTACATGTTGTATTACTTTTTGGCAAGCCAGTGACAAAGAAAACATTCAATAAATATATCTATCTCTTACCTGGTATAAAACAAACACAGAGACACTGTCAATCTTGGGGTAGCACAAGTTTTGGTAATACACATTTTAGCACAACATAGTTCACCTTTAAAGACTATATGTTACATAGCATGTAACATGTACTTAGATTGTGTGTGTGTGTGTGTGTGAACGTGTCCAGTTGTGTACATCTACATAAATCTAACTATAGCTACATTGTTTCACATTTTTGTGGCTGTTTGACTTGCAATAATGTGTACTGTAATGATTAAATAGATCCAGTAGTCTGTAATCCTGAATATTAATTGCTATTTACAAAGGACTAAGATTAATAATTTTCTGACATGATATTTCTGCTATCTGTTGTTTCTCTGCCAGGAGCCTCCCGGAGGAAATGACTTGGAGACACTAGCAGAGTCGTTAGCCGGACCAAGTCAAGTAAAGGAAGGTATGTCGACAGCGAGATATACTAATGTTTGACATTGATGCCTTTTTGGTACACAAGTATTACAGAACTGGTGTGTGATTTTGTTGTTATTACTTTTTCCAGATAATGCAGCCTCCACTACAGCTGCTGTTGCCAAGAAGACAGAGCCCATGGGTGGTATGCCATCAATGTTGTCATCACAGCAGCCTGGGAAGGATGCTTCGAGAGCTGGAGAGGAGGCAGTGAAATGGTCACCTGTCTCCTCCCCAACCAAACCGGCAGCAGGTAAGACTTTCATCGATATTATTGAAGCTGTGACTTTCCGTTTGATATACCTAATATAGTCCTGTAAGTTTGAAATTAAGGTGGTTTGATCCGGCATCATGAATTCAGCAGTACATGTTTTTTTTTCATGTGATAAAAAAAATCTCAGAATTAAAGCTTTATTTGTATCAGATTGAAAGTGATACTAATATGAATTGATAAGCTTTAAAGAAAGTAATCACTTTTACCTCCCTCTTACAGGACACGCAGCAAAGTCCATTTCCTCGGTGTCCTCCTCTTCGCATTCCTCCTCTCCTTCCACGTCTTCAGCGCTGTCTCCTGGCCGAGCAAAGATGAGTGTTTCTGGACCCGGCAGTAGTAAATCCGTCCTGGCACCTGCTCCTTCCTCCTTCTCCCCCCCCTCCTCCTCCTTCTCCCCCCCCTCCTCCTCCTCCTCCTCTTCCTCCTCCTCCTCCTCTTCTTCGTCCTCTGCCACAGCTTCCTCGTCTCCTTCTGTCTCCCCTGCCCCAACCAAGATCCACCGGGCCCGCAAGACTATGAACAGGCCTCCACCAGGACAGGTGAGCCCATACAGCAAGTGGTTAGCATTTATATTAGTAACATGAGATGTGTGCCTCTGTCTTGATTTTGTACCAGCACTTGGTATCTGACATTGCATTGGCCCTTTTTTATTCTTGACCTGAGTTAAAGTGTGTTCTAAAATATGCAGAAATACTTCAGCTACTGACAAAATGCACTGTATAGTAATGGCTCAGTTCTTTGTTGCAACTTTGTCAAGACCATTTGAGTCACTGACTACTTTTGTTTCACAGATGAGCCAAGTTGAGGCACCTGTTGCACCCGTGACACCGTCAGGATCCTCCGACTCTGAAACTGGTTAGTGGCTGTAGCATATTCACACTAACTGCCTGCATAAAATAATCAGATCTCTATGAATAAAAATGAGTTGGTGTGTCTTGTCTAAGTTAAGATTCCCTCTGTCGGGGTTGTCGTGTTTCGAATAGTTGCAAAAAGGAGAAAACTGGGTCAGTTATCCGATGGCACACCTGAGAAGTCTGAGAACTTTCCAGAAAATGCTCAAACTGTGGTAAGATTGTCTTTGCCGGTACATAATTCACATTTACTCAATCTATTTACATGTAACAGGATTTATGTCAATGTTGTTGTTTTTATTATTTTATTAGGGAGAACCGTTCTTCCATAAAAAGGTGGAGCCTGTTACCCTAACCCCACCAGAGAAGAGCAACAGCAGCGTGGTGAAGTCAGAGGAGGAAGTAGCGGAGAAACTTCAGATCTCCAGCCCGTCCACTCGAGATTCAGAAAAGGTGTGATGCTTAGATTTACTCACTGTCTACTAAAAGTGATCAATCACTGTCAGCAAATGCACATATTCTCAAGCATAGTGCCATATAGCATGTTTATGTGCTGCATGATTCTGCTTGGTAATCATTTTTCTATTCAATTTGTTTCTTCTGTAGTTTGAAGATGGTGTGGCAGAAGCAAGAAAGCACACTAAAGACATAGAGGGGTCAGTGAACATGTCAGATCATGTGAGTGGTTCTATCTACTTTACTTGCTTGATAATTCCTTATTAATCTGGTTATAACTATACTAATCTCTTACTTTGTCTTATAGCCATCTTTAGCTCAAAGCTACAGTCAAAAAGTTGTAGTTTGGTCATATTTACATACTTGGGAGTGAGGATTGTGCTGACATAGATGATATCTCACTAGAATACTGAGTTAGAAGCAACACAATGAGCACTTTAGAATGTGAAGTCAGTAGATAATACACACAGTCTTACCCCCAAATGACTTCTGTATGAATCTTTAAGGTCAACAAACAAGTTGCATGCATTTCCAAAGCCGGAAATAATTTATTTAAAATTGTGGGTTTGTTTTCGTCACCAACTGTAGAATAGCAGGAAAGCAGTGGCAGGAATGTGTTTCATGTAGCGTGTGTGTGCGTATCCCTGTGCACGTTCACAATACAATCATTGCGCTGCCACTGCTACGTGATCAACAGCTCAGCAGGACGCATCACAATCGCAACTCCGCTCCACATCCCCCCCCTTTTTTTTCTTTGGTGTTATCAAATCGCCAGTTACCCTTTTCTTTTCTCTACCCTTCACAAATGTCACATTTTTATATTCAGACAGAATTTCTCCCTTGCAGAGTTCGGAGTTAAAAACAAAGGGAGCCGTCCAAAGTAGAAATGAGAGTGAGGAGTGTTTTTGGCAGCAGTCGGACCAGAACAAAGAGAGAAACACAGCTGATGTGGTGGAGACAGTGGAAGGTGAGTGACATTGCCCAGTGGGGTTTTCTCCATAACAACATGGAGTTTTTTTGTTTGTTTTTTTTACAGAAAAATCTATTTGATGTGAAGGTGAAACCGAATCTCTACAAATACATCTACATTTAATACAATGTCAAATATACTGTGCCAGCGTTCACCCCCTTTACTATCACCCACTTAAATCCTCCCTGGTGCAGCAAGTTGGGGTCACGTAACAAGCTGAATGAAGATCACCTGTGTCTAATCAAGGTGTGACAAGCGACTTAAATCCTCCTCTGTCCGGAAACTGCCACCATTGCTTTGTCAATGTCCGGCTATAAACAACACCATGAGGACCAAGAAACACTCGAAACAAATTCGTGGCAAGATTATTGGGAAGTACCAGTCAGGGGAAGGATACACGAAAATTTCCAGGTCACTGAATATCCCTCGGAGTACAGCTAGGACGATCATCAAAAAATGGAAAGAAAATGGTAAAACAATGGTGTGTGTCTGCAAAGAAATGCACTCATTAGGGCGACCATCACAGGGTCTGTGGGGGTCTCTGGAGGAGATGCAGAGTTAAAAAATTGAGAATTTGTAGAAAGATTGTAAAATTGTTGTTCACTCACAGTCTGTGTGCAACGCAATAGACCATAGACCAGAGGTAGCCAACACGGTGCCCGCGGGCACCCTGTCGCCCGCAGGGACCACCTGAGTCGCCCGCAAGGCATGTTCTAAAAATAGCACTAGTCACCATGGAGCTCCGTCTAAAATTGTAGTTGCTGTTCTTTTTAAATCAAAAACGCATTAGTGTAGATTTTAAAATGACAATATTTCTTGTCATAAGAGAGTTGGGTACCCGGAGGCGCACGGCGGACACCCAGGACTAGGCCCCCGCACCGCACTAGGTTTTCAGGTTCCGAATGGCGGCCGCTTCCCGTTGGCGCCAGACGCG